TTTCTATCTAGACACCATAGTTTGCAGTGGGTCTTTCCTTAGTAGTAAATCTAATTTGTATATTGATCGGTTGCATAACATTCGTGCATTTTTGCTACTTGACTTTTTAACTTATTTACAAGAGTTCAAAGGTTTTCAAATTACAAAATAGAGCCAGTCTTATCCTAACCTTAGATCTGAACATGTGGCCGGAGTATTTTCAGGCATTAATATCTGGTCACTCCCCCATCCGCATCTACCACAGCCTGACATCTTGCTGGCATACTCTGAATGAGTCTCACAAGATCTTCGGAAGACACGGAATCCCATGCCTCCTTTACAATTTTGCGAAGACCATCTTGAGATCGCTGCTTTCCGCAACCCAGATTCGGATGATGACGCTGGATGTATTCCTTCATCATATTCCAAACAGCTTCAATCGGGTTCAGATCAGGCGAGTTGGCCGGCCAGAAAATCGGTTGAATGAGCCTCTGGCTCATATCTTCCATTGTAATTGCGGCTGTGTGGGCAGGAGCATTATCCTGTATTACAGAAAGCCAAGGTCTCATCAAGACCATGCCATCGATAAGAGGAACTATCTTCTCGCAATATTTTTGGGAGTTTTGGAACCCCATTCCTTCTCCCGAAACAAACAAGGGCCTTTTTCTGGCCTTGCGAAGCAACTCCAGAACATCCATCCGACCCTATTCTTCGATTTTTCTCCAACACAATCAGCGTTGTATTCTTGGGAAGTCTAGCTCAGAATGTTAGAGCATCAAATTACCATCTTCTTATTGAGGAATGTGCGAACACTTCTTGTCACCCATTCTCTAGAATGTCTTCTATCCTCTACCCAAGTTTCGTCTGTCCATAAAACTGACGTCCAGTCTTCATATGTCCAATTGAGATGAGCTTCGGCCCATTCTCTGCGTGTCTTCATAGTTTTCTGAGATACTGGAGGCTTTAGACGAGCCACATGTCGCTGATTTCCTCTTTTTTGAAGTTCTCTTTGTATTACCTGCTCGCTAACACCAAGATGTCTAAAAGGGCTAGAGGCGAGTTCCAGAAATGTTTTGCGGCGGTTTCCAGGTGAAGAGTCAACGTAAGATATAATCTGATAAACATCATCTGCTTTCAGCCTTGAGGATGTTCTTTTTCTCTTCTTGGGGGAGACAGTTCCGCGGCGCAGTGAATAACTAACTTTTCCCCGATAAATGCCTCGATGGGCGGCTGTCTACGTCTGGTTTTTGCCAGATTCATGAAGCCCATATTTCTTAATTTTTCTTTAAATTTTAATTCTTTCATTTTAATTTTTCTACTTACAAAAATGTTTTGATCTCTGGATAATTGTTTGATTCGAGGTGTTGAAGGTGGGGTATGAGGTGGATTCATCTGTAAAAAAAGGTTATTATCGAGTAAAGCCATGAGTCTTCAGAATAAATAACTTTGTACTTAAGAAATCTAATTCTTATTGTAACCGAAGCACAAGGTGAGAAGAGCTGTGTAATTTTTTAGCGGTCGGCGGTCATAAAAGTGATGGCAAAGAACTAGAGAATAGGCTGGATTTGCATAAAACTGAGGGTGACATGAATTCAAATTGTGTGCTTGGTTTAGGCCTGGAAATACAGGACAAGATTTATGTACCCTGTCTGAATTGGCGCTAACAGGGGTACAGCCCCTGTAGGGAATATGCGCCCCATATAAATCCACTGAAAACTTGAAATCGTAGCACCACGTTAGATAGGTTCATAGCCGCATGTATGGGCCCACAGGGTGCCAAATCGGGTTACATGAAATAAAATTCAAATTCAAAATTATTACAGGGTAATGTCGCATCAAGTCGTGATTTATCGCGTGCCTAATGAACATATAACTATCAAGGGAATAGAATAGAATAGAATTAAATTAAGTCCCTGCTGAGTCTAAGTCTATGAAGGACTGCTAAAAGTAGACATCAAACCACCAAAATTCACTTGTTTTGATAACTACTGTTTTTTCAATCTTTTCCAATAGACAATGAGGGTTTAAACCTGAGTTACTATCAAGGGAAGAAACATGCACAAAACGTCAAGTCATACGAACACTATAATTAAGGAAATCGAAGTAACTTTCTAGTGTCTAGTGTGATTTGATATAAACCTGTATATGGAAACTAGGGCTAGTAGAAATTTTGTTAAATGACTAAGGGACGGTTAAAGTAATGGTTGTATATAAAAATAAATAACAGATAGAAATCTACTGGGAGCAGCAAAGACTCCAATACGTTGGCCGCTCAAAAAACCTACCAGTTCAGAAGCTCATACAATCTGCCTGAAGTAATATCAAGCTGCCCAAACAGGGGAGAGGAGACATTCGCGCCTGTCGGGATACTTAAAGAGGGTGCAAAGAACGTAAACTGTATGTCACGTTTCTGCGGTTGTGTTGGTGGAACTTGTCTATTCTCCTATTCTACAAAAGATACTAATACTCATAATGGACAATGACTAATCTATGTCTGACGTTGAAAAGTGAGGTCAGGACATTTATACTGGCAGCGCCATTGACAGGAGATTAGATCTGGCAAACTGGGTGGAGATTTATGGGGAAGACCGGTCACAAAAACGGCAGAACGAGGCAGGAAAAGTTGCAGCATACCAAGTATGGGCTAAGTCCTGGAAAAATCAAAGGTGGCTCCAATTACCTCGACATAAAGCAATCGCCGACCCCGAAACCTGGAGAGCAGTCAAATTCTATCAAAACCGAAAGTCTGATCGATGGAAAGTAAGTCTCCAGGAATCGCCATTCTTACTTCACCGAAACCTGACAAGAGCCCAAAGTAGTCTAGCGAATCAAATACGAAGTGAGCACATGAGGCTCAACTCGTATTTATATAGAAGAAAAGTACCCGGAGTCTAAAGTCCAAGCTGTCCATGTAGCTACCAATCGCAGAACCCCAAGCACATAATTATGTCCTGCCCTCGATGGTCAAATGGGAGAGGAGAGATCTGGAGACAAGCGAAAGATCGGTCCTACGAAGCTATGTTAAACAATCCTAGAGATATCAAAAGGATAACACAGTGGATCCTATTCCATGATTGGATAGAACAATTTCAAATGACAAATGCGGTCGAAATGCTGCTGAGGGAAAGGAACAGGTCATACCTTTCTTGAGGTCGAATAAGCTGATGTGATTGGGTTATATGGAGGGCACTATAGTGTAACTGCGCTTCCTGAGGGATACATTATAAAAAAAATAGAAATTAAACAGGAAGGTTTGGGGGGTTTTCACTAAAAGATTTCCTCCCATGTAAATTAGAAAGTATCATAGAGACCTGCATGGACCCATAGGGCACCAAATCAGGATATTGAAATCAAATTTAAATATATAAATAAATAAATAATTCATTATCCTGATTTGGCGCCTTGAGGCCCATGCAGGTTTTTATCGGAAGATATGTACTTTAACTAGAATGACTCAATTTGACGTTTAGAACACTCACACTAAGATTTCGTTTGCAGATACCATTCGATGTTAACCCTTAAGGCGTATAACCTCTTCCGTGCATACCCACCACAGGGAAAAGCGTGAAAAACCTGTAGCTATCCGAGTGTGCTTTCATCATCCCACAACTACAATATCACCGCGAGAGAGAGTGGTGTGCGGGTCTTACTGGATTCGAACCAGCTTTCTCCTGTCTCAAATGGGGTAGATGTTCAAGCTACCCAGTATCTACTTGGGAGAACGGGGGGACTATTCTCAACACCTGTCAGTGGTGTCCCCTACGAACCTCCAGCTCTCACTGTAGAGTCTGCAGAGCCGAGATTGAGTAACAAAGTCCTCACTTCGAAGAGGATTCCCAATCGCTTTCGCGGTCTGTATCGTCTTCATCTCTCAACACATTCCCCTATCACCATTATCATGAAGCTAACCACGATCAGATCAGATGGTAGGGTCGGAGCTCTACTCATCACCAAACCTTGATCACGGAGGAAAAGCCATCCGATGAGTTTCTGGAGCGTACCCAGCACCCGATACGGAGATGGTGGATTGGATCAAGTCGACCTCGAATGTTACAAAGAAGGGAGATATAGATGAATATGCGCACCTCATGTGGTCCCGGTGTCTAGGCCTCGCCTGGCTGGGGCTGCAGGTTTTTTGAGACTTTTTCCCGCGCACGCAGTTTCCATTGCTACCATTTTTATTTTTTTTGGGTAGAAGGTTCCGTGGAAAAGGTGGCTGAATTCCACGGGTAAATACTGAGCTGAATGGCTATTCATCAAGGGGAATACATCAATGATCTTTCAAGTAACAAAAGAGGATAGGAGCACTGTACAAGGTGTGGCCTGGGTCAGAGAGGAGCCCAATGTGCTAGATAGTCATAGACTCAAGTAGTACAATAAAACACACACACACACATACTTGGGAGAACGGCCCAGATGGTGTACCGCTGCACCATCCAGCCCAGTGATGGTTATATATGGCCATGATCTGGATGATTGGAGAAGGAAGGCATCACATGGAGAATATCTCATAACCAGTTTATTCTATGTAACAACTCAAATATATTTACCTAAAGAAGTCGTATCTTTTACACGACTTGAAATAGAATTGTCATCTTCGTCATCATACGATACATAACTAAGTCAAACAAATTCGGGAGAAAAATGTTCCTGAGGGCAGAAAATTCATATATAATATATGGATAGCTTGGTATACACACATGAACTAAAAATATATCAAGATTTTCATTGATAGTTTAGAGCTACCGGGTGGCTTCTGGAATAGCACATCACTCGGGGCAAAAACGATTCTGGCATGTGGCAATGACCTCCACTTCTTGCGTGGGATTGATGTCGGATGAATTGTGAGCATATTAAGCTACAGCTAACGCTGCGTAGATATGTAAACCATAGTCAATTATACGGTGAGCAATAAATCTCAAGGTATTAACACGTGGGCTGGCTTAGCCCCTGTGAGTCGCACTGCTTCTTTAGCACAAATGTGGGCAGCCTGGTTTGTTTGATAAGTATTCATACTTACAATGCGACTCTCAAACTTTGCGCGCCTAGAGCGCCGGAAACGTCAATGTCGCCTGCCGTTCAGGCCTCTGGAAACTAGTTCGCATCCTATGGGACAAACAACTGAAGATTACCAAAAACTTTCATTATCAGACTCAGCATCATTGTCATCTCCTCCCTGCTTACAGGCGAAAAATTCCGCATTTGAAAATCAGATTGAAACCCAACCCGAGGTTATCGACGAGAAGCCTAAGTCGCCAAAGATAAGACCACCCTCCACTGATACGCCAAATAAACCACAAATTGAGGCTTCCCGTTTAGGAGGTTTGCTCTGATCTTCTTCATTACATTCTTGCTATAGTAACTATGATGTGTAATTAGGCAGGCAAGAGAATCCAAACAAGGAATCTGATCCTTTTCACATCAGAAGCAGAGAAAAATCAATTCTACATCCTCGTTTCCGTTGTGCAGTCAAGGATTTAAGATGGAAGAGCTCATGTACGGAGCCCGACTCATCGGGGGGTTCAGAGGCCGAGAGTGATGGTGCTGGATATTTGCATAAGCGAAAACCAAAAGCTCAAATAACATCAGTAATAGACATCAGCGAAAAAATTGAGCCAGACATCGACCATCGTCTCTCTGCGAATCAGAAATTACATGCCCACTACTCTCCAGAAGCCAGAAACTCGACGTCTCTCGTGAGTACAAACAATGCACCACTCATTCAGCCCTTTATCAACGAAAACAAGATCAAAAAGTTCAGTCCCAACATCATGAAAAACTCATCTTCTACTCGAAGTATGAACATGAAAAAAGACCAATCTGATGATAATGATTTCCATCACGACAATATTGTGCCAACGAGAAAAATACCCGCGCAATACTCCCAAGATAAATCTCTTTCAGAAGAGTCCGAGGAAGATGTTCAATCGTCACCGCTCAAACGTCGGCGACTACCTGTTACTGACAAAACAAACAAAAATCTCTACTTAAATTCAAAAACTCAACAAAATTTGCCGGAAAAGACAAGATGTTCAGATGACTCGGACAGTCTTATTTCGCCTACAAAAAGGCTCCGCTCAGGTGAGAAGGAATTTAATAAAAATTTACATGGCTATAATTCGCCCTCGGAATCAGCCAGGACTTCATCGTCAAAGCGCTACACTCGGCAGATGAAAACCAGGAGCCACCGAACCGAAAAGGAGAAAGCATTGGAACTAATGAGACGTAAACGTGCTGGTGAGCGTCTCGAAAAGCTATCCAGCTCAGAATCAAGCGACGAGCTTGAGTATGAATTCCAGACCTTATCAGATTTTGAGGATGATGAGATAACTAAGCATGAACGACTAAACTATCAAGACAATGAAGATTCAGAAGATACTGCTGACTCGTTCGAATTCATACTTGAAGATGATGAAGGCTTATTAGGTGTTCCAGACTATTCAGCTTTGATCCCGATTCAATTCACCCATGCAGCCCATAAGCCGCTCAAAGAACATTTTCGCGATGTCATAGAATGGATGGTGAAAAACAAAATATTCCCCGATTTCGCCCGCGAAGATGAAATATATCTACAGGCATTCAGAAGACTGGACGATATCTGTCAGGGACTCGCGAAAAGCAAGTTTATATCTACGCAATGGACTCAAGAATTTTTAGCAGCAATTTGGAGCCGTCCATACTTTACTTCAGGGCCCCTCACTAGGAGAAAGGTTAAAACTAGAGAGAAAATTCTGACAAAATGTGACGCGTGTAATCATCGAAAACATGCCCCCTCATCATTTATTCGGCTTCATGGAATGTTATATGACAAAAAAACTTTGAATAAACCGAACTGTAACCGCGCTGCCTTGTCCTTTGGGCCAGGTGTTGAAAACCTTGACTCAAGTGGCGAAGGATCTCCGATTCATTCAAATTCAATAGAATCAAAGAGGTGGCTTGTAGGAAAGTCAGTCAATCACATACATCCCAGTATGGTATCAATAAGCTAACTTCAGACTAGTATTTGCAAAAAAAATGCAGAATACTCCCATCGGCTCATACATTGGAAATTTGCACTAAACGAGTGGGTAAATCATGCTCTTAATCAAGAAGAACTTCTCACCAGCCAAAAGGTTGGGAACTGGGAACGAATGGAAACTCGACAGATAGATCAACTCGCTAATGAAATAGTCGATACCTGGGAAAAAAGAGGGATTATTAAGTCTCTATATCAGGACTGGAAAAATCAGCGCACTGCAGCCACAGAGATAATGTTGACACAGGATAGATGGAAGTAATACTTGTATAATGTCTAAAATATCACAAGATTAAATCTACGAGGCCGCCCATATTCCCAAAAAATAGTCTGGATCTCTGTATCATTCTTGTGCGTGCTCAATAAATTCCAAGTCTGGTCCCGAGAGGGAGATTTTTCACATTCCTAAACCAGTTGCCTACCTCTGATGGATAATATTACTGGACCTAGCGAATCAAAAGAAGTAGATGTGGCAGTTACTATAATCAAATCTGACTAAATTATTCTTGATTCCAAACATCTTTTCAGTGCAGCCCCTTTCAAAGAATTCAAATACTATAGATTTCGGACCTTCAAGCCCTCACTTGGGTATACATTCTCTTAGTCTCTAAAAGATTTACAGTAATAAGATACTTACACCGCAAGATCGATCTCATTCTTATTATTGGTCCCTAGAAGAATAAATGAATTTCAGGTCGAGACATTGCGAACAAATACCTTCCTTTCTTGTTAAGTAGAGAAGCTCTAGATATGCTTCCGAGACTGTATTTCTAATAGGTTAGAATCCATGATTATTCTAGCAAATATTATTGGCCAATTTTGTTCCAAATCGAGCTCGGCAGAAATAACCAAAACGGTCAGGCCTAGCGAGCACATCTACACGAGCAAACTGGGATGTAGCTTTCCGATTGGGTCAGGATATTAATCTTATGAGTCATGTGATTTAGAAAAATAAGTCTAGGTCCAGACCAGTATAATAGGTCTGAGTATTTTAAAGGCAACCTTTATATTTACCAAAGATTTCCAGTTCAACAACTGCATATTTTCGGGTTCTAGTAGACTGATATTTGATACTATGGGCATAGTGAATCTCCTTCGTCAGTTCCCTACCGATGTCACGACCCGTGATGTCATTAGGCGCTGGTGCAATACAAATCAAGGAAATAGATATTAAAAAGCTCACACCACGAGCTACCACACGACTTAGATAATCCATAAATTGCTCGATTCTTGATCAGTCGCAGGAATTGAGCTACCTCGGGAAAGGATTAGAGAGACTTCGAAGCTCCATAAATGAAGCGAAAGAGCTTTCCTCAAACTTATCTTCTGTATTACCTGAAACGTAGTTCTCTTGCGTCCTTTGCACCTTCCCGTTGTTGTTATCTGTGAGACTAGCTGAATTTACTTGTTCTTTTACTCACCCACTTAGGTATCCTTTTTCTATCTTCATCTCTCATTCTAATTTCAACCCTGCCAATTTCTCTAAAAATATCAGGTCTACTTCTAGACCAAATTGCCATACATCCTCTAATTTTGATTCATTCAATCTAGATTAATTTCTTCAAAACCTCTCTCCTACAGGAATCAAAGTTGGTCAATTTAGCGCCCATTAAATTTTTTCATCAAGAACCGATAATTCGAGCCTTCGAGTTACTAAAATAAATCTAAAATTAATCGACAGCCCTTATCGATCTTGAACTCCTTCACATCTATCGATCTCGACTTTTAAAGTCATTTGACTTTGGCTGCCATGGCTTCTACACAGGTCAACAGTCCTATGGACAGTACAGTCAAGACCAAAGACGTCGAACGCAAGCTACAAATCTATGGCATTATATTGGGTCAGTTTACATTATTGCCCGAACTGTATCACTTTGGCTGACAATTTACAGCTTTACAGGCAGGGAAGATTCCATCTGTAAGTGACGATGTAGAAAAGTCAGACTATATGTTAACGAATTTTTAGAACAATCAGATTGACATAGCTCTTAATAGTTTTCTCGCAAGCAAAGCTTTAGTGAACCCATCTCCAGAGATTTCACCACTCGGTCATGATTTAATTGACGATGTTCGTAATGTCATGGAACAGTCGAAACTTTTGATTCTTACCAAAAATAAAGGCGATTTAATTCAAAACTTCATCTGGCAATCGCAATGTGTTCAAATTAGTAAAGATTCTGATCTTGAGGCTCCTGTTGATAAGGAATCAGCGAAACAACACGGTCAGAAGGCCTTGGATGGATTTCGAACACTAGGCATGCTTATTATTTCCAACGGTCAGTTTAGGAAGCTTTGTAAGTGTTGCATGATTTTGTCCTGGGTAATTGGCTGCTAAATAAAACTAGTGAATGACGCTACAATAATTTTTCGTGATATTGCTGGTGATACTGCTCAAAAAGCTGTTGAAATGATTAATCCAACTGATGATCAATTATCTCAATTGGATAAACCTGCGGACCAGAACACCTGGCATGACGCTCCAAATTTGTCTGCTAATAATATTAAACAACAGATAATGTCAACATTTACGAAAAAGGCACCGCTTGATCACACTGATATTCAAGATGCCGTAGGTAGTGCTGCCCACGCTAGTCACCCGGAAGGCGACCATGATATTGTAAATTCTACTGGTCTTAGGCAGGATCAAAGAAGCAGTACGCCGACAGTATTAAACGCACAGGCTCGTGTTCATAACGCCACTACAAATTTAACAGATAAACTTGCAAGTAATATTCCCGAGGAGTCTAGAGATAAAGCTCGAGACCGACGCGAGCGAGGTAAAACCTATATTTCTGGTAAAATATCCCAGGAGCGCCGTGATCAGACAATTTTCCGCCTTAAAAAGCTTGTTGTCGAGTGTCAAGGCCATCATGACTGTCAGTATATTCTGAAATCAAAATAAATTCTACAACTAACATCCTAAAGATCAAGAGGCCATTACAACGCTTCTTGACTTAGCTCAAAATTACACTGCTCATGCTAAAGATTTAACTCAGCAGGGGTCCAGTAATGTGAAGGGTGATCATAATAACGATGAGTTAAGACAAATAGAAGCTAACTTGAAGGTATTAATAAGATCTAAAAATACAAATTATGCTAAACTAACTGGACTTAAGATCCTTATTGAGCGGTTTGCAAATGGTACATCCATGAACGAACTGTTTCGTGCCATTAACACTATTTATGTGGACGCAGATCACGATTCTGAGTTGAAAAATTGGTTCAAACATATTAATTTCTTTGTGCGCAAGTGCTTCGAGAAACAAGGATTTATTATGGACGATGCAGCTACTGAAGAGTGGAACGCAATTTATGACAGCGGAAATTTTCTCCTACGAGATCGGTATCGAAATCATACAGACCAAGTAATCAGCGAGCTTAAATTCCTAGCCGATAAATTTGATGAAGATCCTCAGAATAAAAGTTTTGCCCAGTCCATGTCAAATCTTTTTAATGATCTCGGTAATGATGAGAATGGGAAACCGACTTTCAAGCCAGAGCTCTTGAAGGATTTAGCAGATGTTATTCTCCCTGCTGCCTTCGAGAACATCAGATATGTGCCAGTACCTCGTATTGAATATTCTGATCCTACTGTGGACTTTATTATTGAAAACCTTGTACTAGAGTCGGACAATTTCTTTCCGAACATCTTTGAGTTTACCAACGATAATTACTTCAAATGGGGTAGGAAAAATGTCTCTAACCGTAGTAAGCATTCGGCGTCTCTACACGTTGCAGGTATTCAGATGGATCTAAGAGATGTCGCTTTTTATCTCAAGAAGAAGACCTTTCCAAATATTAGCGACGTTGGCGCGGTTGATATTTTTCTCGGAGGAACTGGATTCAGCTTCACCATGAAGATGTCATCAACTGATCACAAAGATAAACAGAATTTTTTCAAAATTGACAAAGTTGATGTCGATATCAAAAACTTCAGAATTAAAATAAAAAACTCTCAACACAAGCTTTTATTCAGCATTGCAAAGACATTTTTGCTCAAAGCAATACGCTCTGCTCTACAAAAAGCTATAGAAAAAAATATTACAGAAACAGCTCTTCGCCTGGACTCTATCATGTATCGGGTTAAGCTTGAAGCCGACCAAGCTGCACAGGGCCTGAAAGGAGATCCTGGACAGGCCCCCAATGTCTACCAACGATACTTTTCTGTAATAAAAAATCAGTTTTTTCATGGGAAACGCCAATTCCAGTCGGGAGCTTCAGACACTAAGGTAAATATGGCAGTAACAAAGCGCGACTCTATCTTTCCAGAAATTCACCTGCCAGGTGGGATTAGTTCTAAGGCTACAGAGTATAAAGACCTAGCTCTCAAGGGTGGGACATGGGAATCTTCTATTTTTAATTTGGGATCAGCTTCATTGTCAGAAGATGTTCCTACGGCTCCTAACATATCTCACGTCAGTCGTTCAGTTGCATCAGATTGCGACCATGGAAATATTAAATCCTACCAAAATTCGCATGATATTTCTCACCCGATGGCAACAAGTCATCCACTTAATCATTAAGATCATTCTGGAATGAATCTTATTCGTTTACGGATAATCCTTGGACATAAATTTAAGTCCAACCAGTTACATTTGATAATGAACAATATTACGAAAGAGCTATCATAACTTCGAAAATTATTACTTACACTGGAAGAAATGGAGCGTTGAATTTCTAATGTTTTCATTGTGTTACGTTAAGTTCTCTGATACCAATGCTGCGGATGCCATGTAAGTATCAATTATTATGTGGGGCTCTTTGAAATGGCGGTAAAAGTGCTGATTGACGCATAAGCTACCACATATTTTCGATGAGTACAGCTTGCGTACGAAGGTATAGAAATAGACTTAATGATTTCTAGTCATAGTATAGATAACCATGGCGTAATTTAAATTTGTTCAGATGCCCACACAAATTTTATCTAGTGATCGGTGATACTCGTATGCATACTTTTGTGAAAAAATTTGGTTTTCCTAAAAAATGGCTTTTGAAATTTCTGTCCCCTATTTCAAACCTTGCATAGGTTCCAATTGTGTGTCTAAAAATATTTAATCCTCATGTTGGTATGACAAAGGTCATACACTAAAAGTCTATTTGTTCACATAAAGTTGTGAGAGTACTCGTGTAAGTAGTTCAAACTATCGTTTAGAAGAAATGCGCATTCATTGTTATTCGTGTTCTGAGTTGATGCTATAGAACTGCTTTTTAGTTTATATTCAGATAATGCTTTATCTGAACGTCAGAATCCACAAATCAGGAGAACTAGCCAATGCAATGCAACAATCATCGACTCCAAATAACTCCAGGTAAATGAATCATTTCGACACTTCATAACACTCACGATGTATCATGATCGAGAATATGGAAAAATTACAGGCACTCACATCTAACACAGTTACGAAGCCTTAGAAAGAGTGCAGCACTGTTGCCTTTTAAAGCCAAGATGAAATAGGGCATGACCCTCATCTTCTATTGGCAAAAATTAAGCACAATAATATCTAGATTTACTATTAACCTTAAAGCTATTTAGATAGTTATTAGCCGTCCTTCATAGTCATAGACTCAGTAGGGACATAAATAAAATTCTATTCTAAAGCCAAGATGGCTCATTTATGCAACCATGGCCGACTAACAACTAGTGGCTCCGTAGAACTACGTATTTAACGAGCCCCATGCATGGTAGAGGCCAGGCGTTTTTTAATGCATAATAAAGCAGTATCTTTATGTTTTGAACCCTTAGTGCGGGGGCAGTAGTGGTAATCAAAAATTTTGTTTGGTTTGATGGTATGTCAGTACAAGAATCATGTATTAGGATTGGGAATGATATTTTAAGACAGCTCAAGTCTACGTATTCTTACGAGCTACTGCATGGTAGAGGGTTAAGGGAAGCGGGAAGGTCGTAACGAGACGAATAGGCACAGGGCGCTACGACAGGAAAAAATATAAGCCGGTCTAGTGGCGCAAGAGTACATGATTCACGCGTGAAATTGTACTGGGTGGTAGACTTGAGGGACGCTGCCACCCGTAACTAAGATGTGCCTAGACGCCGCTAGCCGCGCTCGACGTCGCACAACCGATGTAGTTGGTGTTGGGAGAATATCATCTATTGATCAAAAAAATGGATAGCTGAAGGGCCCAAAGTAAGAGGCTGAACGCTGTTAGTATTATCAAGAATACAAATCAAAGTGGTTTCAAAATAGGTGCGTTATCACAATCAAATAATATACCTTCCTAGTTACAAGGAGTATGAGGAAAGTGAAGTATCCCGATAGCAAGACACTATTTTTAGTGGGTAGCTAAAGAATCGCAAACGCCGCAAAAGTTAGATAAAGTATTTGAGAACAATTCAATCAGCTAAATGTCTATCTCAATTGTAATAGCACCATTGTGGATCGAGAGGGAAGTTTTCGACGCAATGCAGAGGTATCTAGTGCCAACAAAGTATCCATCACAAGAAGACTGCAGTTTTTTGGGACTAACGACAAGATGAATCAAGTTATTCTTACTTAACTTAGTGATATCTGTGAAAAGCCCTCTAACTTATCATATATCAGGTCCCTGGCTGCCTGAAAACAAAAATCCCGCCGTAATTTTGGGTCACGTCACAGGCTTTTCACCATCGTAATATCTTTTAATTGGGGCTTTAATCGGAGTAAAAAGTACCACACACACTAGCGCAGTCCTCCACAAAGGCAGCTGTACTAATTTTATCCCGAACCGAGATTCAGAAAGATTTCAAACTGCAAGTCGACGTATAAGGTGGTGAACCAATGGTTCTTTACTGTCCCAACCCTTGACTCACGACAAGGCTATCAACCCTGCACGTAGACATTGCTACAAATTAACCTCGATATTCTCATAATACAGGCTTCTACAGCGCCTGGGTAGCCAGGGCGCCTATCAAATTTGAAATAGGAAATCACCGGCTCACACTCAGCAATACTAAGCTACATTTCTCGCGATGAAAATTTGTAGGAAAGCGAAGAAGTGCTGGGTTGACCTGGATATTCCATTTCCCGTTTCGTTGACGCCCTCAGTTACAGGGTTTTTTTGTATCACATCTTATTCGCATATGCAGCTATATATCTGTTGCGCTATGGTTATTTTAGGTTTACCTGAATTTACTCATAACATGACTCGGGTCGGAGAAGTTAATGTTGATACGTGATGCGTATCAAGGAAAATATCTTTTTGTTCGGATTTTACATAACTCATACTTTGAATTGGGTTTACATTTATGTTTCCGATGATATTCTCATCTTATCTGTCCAGAGCACGGTTTGGTATGTTTCGGTGGTAGCATTATTGCCAGCGAGTTATCTAGTAGGGTTTCATATGAGGAAGATTATGTATTTTAGATACTCGATAGCCAGAGAATAGAAAGAGAACCCTTCGATGATTTGTTACCTTCTACTCCCATTTCTAAAATAGTCCAACAATATCCATGATAGGTAGCAACATTCCCCAGTTGTCTTGATAGTATGTGCAGAAGGGGCGGAGCCTCTGCTTGATATACTGGTTCATGATTTCAGTCTACCCGTCTACGTTAGGGTTGAAGGCAGCAGTGAGCTTAACCTTTGTACCTAAGATGAGGCAGAACTCTCTCCAAGGAGTTGAAACAAATTGAGGTCCTCTGTCTGAGACAATGGAGTCAGGCATGCCGAAATGACAGATCCAGTGAACTAGGAAGAGCTCTGCGAGATCTTTAGCAGTGACATTCTTGTTGCAAGGAATTGATACGGGCTTAGTTAAACGGTCTATAATCACCAGCACGAAGTCATATCCCTCTTCATCCAGAGACAATTCCGTAAAATCCATGGTCAAGTGTTGATAGGGACGATCTGGGATAGGAAGTGGTTTCAATAGACCTGGAGTCTTGTCCCATCGAGCTTTCATGCGGATACATTGACAGTTTTGTATGTAATGGATGATGTCAGCACCCAGTCCTTTCCAATAATATCTTCGAGAGACTAAAAGCTTCGTCTTGCCAATCCCTGCATGAGCTATGCTAGGTTGATCGTGGATGTGCCGGATGAGAGCTGTTCGGAGGATGGCAGGTTCTAGAGGTACGACCAGCCTTCCCTGGAAGAATAACTTTCCATTTGTGAGTTCGTAGCCCAGACTTAGGGTGGCACCATCTCTGTCTGGCTGAAGGAGCGCAGAGGTCTTATTAGCCTCTATGACTCTGTCGATGATGTCATACCCTTCTACATCGTAGTCTATCATGAAAGTGGGATCCAGTTGAGCTCCATCTATATTTTCGAGGTCATTAACATTTTCAGATATTGGGATCCCTGGATCAGTTATGTCCTTAGGTACAGCATCGACGGGGCATAGCTGTGCCAGTGGGAGGGGTTTAGCTATAGTGATATAGTTATATTTGGTATCCTCTTTGGCCGTCAAAACAGTGAGGGCTACATCTTCTAGGACTTGAGGGTGGATCTTGTCATTTGGTATTAGTAGTTGCTGGCAAATAGCACGTTTGCGGGCTTCTAATGGAGTAAAATCCTGATCCCGTCTAGAGATGGTATCAGCCAGCGTATTTGTTATGCTAGTGCAATTCATGATTGTAAAATGAAATTCCCCGAAGAATTCGGCCCACCTGGCCTGGCGGGCTGTAAAATCCTTGGTTCTCATGAAGTACTCGAGGGCACGGTAGTTGGTGTACACGTGAACAGCTTTTTGGGCTCCTAACAGCTCGGGGCGGTACTGTTTGAAAGAACGATTTTGTCACAGGCTCATACCTGGTTATCATTAGGTTGCTGCCTAACAAATAAGGCTTGAACTCTTCCAACCATATTAAACATCATACATGTCATGAACCCCTACACAACTCATTAGACCCAAGTATAGGCCTTGGCCCAGTACATGCAAATCTATTCTTAAATGACAAATTTAGATTGCACACAGGACGACTCGAACACCAGTCCTGAATTAAAATAGACGGAGATGCTGGTGTTTGTCGGAGGACAGGTCATGATCTATTTTGAGAATGGTATGAAATGAGGGAACGAGATCATAGTCTTGTAAATAAATAGGAGGCTTTCAGTCATGTCTCTGCTCGTTACTTTAAGATTTTCATTTGTATCTAGCTCTGAGTTCAGTTTGAATAAAACGCCACTTTAAGACCGTCACAGAAAGATTGCCAATAGCTCTTTATCATGTATGGGGTAGTTAAGCTCAGAATCGCCCATCGTCTTAGAGAAGTATCCGACAGGGTGATAGAGGTTATCTTCTTGAAGCTGTGACAGCACTCCAGCAACAACACTATCCGAAGAGTCGGTCTCCAATCTAGCCTGTTTGTAGGGGTCGTAGTGTCGCAGGATCGGAGCTGACTGCAGAGCAGAACGGAGAGCTTCCCAGGCTTCTTTGCACTTCTCGTCAAATACGAAAGGTATATCTTTGCCGGTGAGAAGAGTGAGGGGTCTGCATATTCTGCTATACTCCTCGATGAAACGGCGGTAGAATTTGCAGAACCCTAAGTAACTTTGAACCCCACGTATGTTGGTAGGGTACTGCC